GTCGTTTACCCCACCACACCAACCCTGCTATAACCTTCCCTTAAGGCGCACGGAAATTGGCTGTGGTTGGTAAGGGTAATTGGACCCCCTACCGCGCTTATCTCCGAAGCGATCTCGGAAAACTCACCTCCCCTCAAAAGAAGCTAACCGCCTCAGACCGGCCTTCGTCGCTGTAAAGGAGAAATTTTTAGACCGCCCGGGACCGCCTCCCTCGGAGTGAGAGGGTTAATAAATAAGGATAATAATTTTTGAGGAGAAGTTGTAAATGGCATCCCAGTGAGTAAGTAATGGGAAATAATTGGTTCAGGAAAACTTTCGATTTTTAAAATCCCTCATTAGAATTAAGTTACAAAAATAATTTAAAAAAATAAGAAATAGCATACGAACCATCTTTGAAATGATTTCATTCCATATTTTAAGGAATTATACAAAACCACCTAACGATTTCTTCTATTCAGAGGAGCATTAGAGGTCAAATCTGATATTAAACTTTCGTTTGGTGTCAGTAAGAACTTGACTGCCAGTATTTATACTTGTTTCTGCAAGACATCTAACTCTGAGATCATTAGGAGGTTAGTACTTCCGGTTCCTGTAATAAATAAGCCGGATATCTTAATGTTTCCTGCTGAAGAAGGAATAAAATCCAACCCTTGTCAGGGAGTGGGGATGAAATGAGGGTGTCTGAAGATAATGGGATCTTGATAACATATTTTTATCGCAGGGATAGCTGACAAAAAATATGAAGTGAAATTTTATAATGGTAATTAAAAAGGAATTTTCTAGTTTCTTCTGAATAAAAAATCTGTTCAGTATGTCTTTTTTATGTTAAATTGTTAAAGAAGTCCATTCTTTCAGATATAATGCCAAAAAATTGCGTTGATAAGAAGAAAATACGACTTTTCGTCTTGAATAAACTAAAAGAATTAAAAAAATATATATATTTAAAGATTTACTTATCATTCGTTACTGTAGATGTTGAGGGTAAGAAATGATTTAAATTTTCAGAATAATAATATTTATCAGATGTCTAGCATTCTGTATAGCTACCGGATTTTACGAATATATAGGCAGATTTTTTTCGCTGCTCCAATTTGCCTCAAATTGTGCAAAGCAAACACTTCTATGTGCTTGGCATAATCAATTTTTCATGCCCCGGCTTAAAGAGTCTGAAGGAAAAAAAATTAAAGTAAACCTTAAATGATATTAAAGCCAAATAATGGGTAATAAATAAGGGAATAGATAAATTTAAAAGTTTCAGTCTTAAAAGGAGACCAGGTTACAAACTTCTTATAATAATTGGAAATTTAATAGTGATAATCACATTTTACTTGGCGCGGGGTGTATGGTTAACTCTTTAATTCTGAGGGGATATTTTCCTCCAGCTCCTTTAAAACCGGGGTTTTGGAGAGGATTCCACATTGAAATGGTCTCTTCCGTTCAGTATGGTCTTTACCCCACCATCACACTTCCCGCTATTCCAGGTAATAAAGCTGTCAGCGTCCTACTTTTATTGATTTCCTCGCGGTTTTTCCGCAAGTGTCGCACCCAGGCGGCCCAGACTGAAATGGGCTGTGAAAAAGACCCCAACAAGGATAATTGGACCTCCTACCACTCTTATCAATGAAGCCATCTATCTACCCGACCACCCCTCAGATGAAGGTAAGCGCCTGAAACCGGCATCTTAGGCGTTAAGGCGAAACCTGTAGACCGTCCGGAAGCGCCTTGCTAGGTATGAGAGGGTTAAAGTGATAGACCGCTTCATGCGAACCATCAACACAACTGGTACTGTGCCTGGTATTCTACTTCTACATCGTTAGAAACACGTTCCACACAACGCTGGTGGCTACAATGAAGGACTGTAAACGCTTCAAGCTTGTAAATGCACTGAAGAGCCCCCCAAAAATGGTACACCTGCCTAATATCGTGCAGTCATCAAGGGTACACGAGTGAGCCTTCGGCTCCGAAAGCCTATATCGATGATGTTTCGTTGAATGGTTCGCACGCTGACACTTGTTGATGGCCCAGCATTGAAATCTGAAGCAATTTGCGGAAGGGTTGCACGTATGTCACGTTTAATGTTTCTCGTCAGTCGTCGTTGGTCCCGTTCTTGCATGATCTTTATCCGGCCGCAGCGATGTCGTAGATTTGATGTTTTACTTGATTCCCGACATTCACGGTACACTCGTGAAATGGTCGTACGTTACAATCCAAATTTCATCTCTACCTCAGAGATGCTATGTCCCATCTCTCGTGCGCCGACTATAACACCACGTTCAAACTCACTTAAATCTTGATAACCTGCCATTGTAGCAGCAGTAACCGATCTAACAACTGTGCTAGACACTTGTTGTCTTATATAGGCGTTGCCGACCGCAGCGCCGCACTCTGATTGGTTCCATATCTCTTTATTTGCATACGTATGCCTGTACCAGTATTTTGGCTCTTGAGTGTATGTTGTTTCAACTGTAATTATATGGTTGCCACTATTAAACTTCCAACCCATGTATCAATCTTTGTTTCTGCCTTTCAGATTTCTAGTTTTACTTGCAAGGAAACTAGTCTTCGACGTGCATAATAGCTCTGAAATTGTTTATACGTTTTAAATCTAAAAGGTGCGTTCGAAAAGTTCGGTGAATGGTCTCATAAAATAAAGGAAACAATGTATACAAACAAAATACCTTTACTGGCATTCAAAATAATCACCATTAGCTACAATACACTTTTGACATCGGTTGTACAGCTGCTGGAAACTGTCAGCAAACACTTCTTTCGGTATCGCTCGAAGCACTGTTGTCACACGTTGCTGGACCTGCGCAATGTCGGAAAAGCGTAGAACGTTTTCTTACGCTTTTGCAAATGTTCGTGAATAATGTTGCTCACACTGTCTAGGCTTATCTTCAATTCTTCTGCCATCATTCTCAAAGACAGCCGTCGATCATCCGCAAGCATCTGTCGCACTCGTTCAATGTTGTCTGGAGTTGTGCTTGTTGGTAGTCGACCCGAACGTGGCTCATCTTTCACATCTTCCTTTCCGTCTCTAAAGCGTTTAAACCACTCAGAAACACAATTTTTGCTCACTGCGTCCACACCGTACACTTTCACTAACATTTCGTGTGTCTCCTTCGCCGTTTTGCCTAATTTGAAGCAAAACTTGATGTTCACGCGTTGCTCCATTTCACAGTCACGGGCCTTCTCACAATCACTCTTAAATTGGTTGTAGCGCGCACTTCCGCTTAACTGTCGTGATTTGGACGCTAGGGGGCACTAGTTGCCATGTCTCTCACTGCGTCAGCGTGAGCGAACCAGCGCGGTTATTCAACTATGGGACCATTCACCGAACTTTTCGAACGCACCTTGTACATTATGCTTGAAATAACTTTTTGGTTTGCTTTATTCCAACCGTCAGCACCCGCACGCGGTCTTTTTGACCCCACCCTTTCTCTTTTATTAAGAAATTCAAGGAATTTCTAAAAACTTGCACTGTTACTTCCTATACCTTGATGGGAGAGGTAGAAGAAAAAGATAGGAGCACTAGAAGCCGGTGAAACGGGATTTCTAGGTTTTTATTGGGGTGTTGGGGTCAAATTGACCCACGCGTGTGTTTGCTTTTCAGATTCATTTAACGTTATGGCTATGGCAGCGTACAAACGTGCGCAGCAGACAAGAAAAAATGCAGAAAAGGTATGGAAAAAAAAGAAGATCAGTTCAATTTTCCTTTTTTCTTATTAAAAATCGCGTTTGTGTCTTAAATACAAGATATTTGTAGGAAAAAAAATATTCTTATACTTTGACCGTAATTTATTTTTGTACAAATAGCCTTTAAAATAAAGAGTAAATATTTAACACTTTGGGGTCAAAATAACCCCGCGCATGTGGTAATGTCCCAAAAATGGGTCCGTGTGCTGAAGGGTTAACCTTGAGAAAAAGAACAGAAATCTGTCTAAAAATGCGTGTAATTAGCCTTTTGCAAGGTGCCCAAAAATGGTTGATGGTTTTTAAAATTGAATAGTAAGGAAACAATTACAGTTATTTAAATTAATTTTTCAGGCTATGAATGAATGAGTTCAGGGATTTTTTTAATACGCTTCTTTGTCTTAGTACTAAATGTCACCGAAAGAAAACTGACTTCCAAAACTGTCAATCATTGAAAAAATTTCGGAAATCACAAAGCATTGTTCTCCAATTGTTAACCATCAAGAACATGTTGCAAACTCATGGAAATTAGCAGAGATGTTTAGTAACATCACTAAAGGCCGAACATTCATGACTAATAATTTATCCAGTTCCGCAAATACTAAGCCATTATGTAGATATACCGTTTACTTCAAGTGTCCTTACAAGAAATCGCATGGTTTAAGATCCGTCAAACTTGGTTCCTAACCCATATCCTTGCAAGTGATGTGCGTATCAAAGTGTTTCTCCAGAAAAGAATAAACCCGACCCAGGCCTTTCACTGTCTTGTTAAGCCAGATTGGTTCGGCTAACCTTACATATATTTCCAAGGTGGTACAGAGCCACCTGTCATTGACATTTGGTACTGTCAGAACGAAAAGTTCTTATAAAAAAAACTCCCTTACATCAATCATTTAAATCCTGAAAACATGAGGTAAGTCGCAGCCATAGATTGCTCTTTATACCATTTTAAAAATCGACAGCCATCTTCTAGATGCCTGCTCTTGCAAGCATTACACAGACTCTAATGAAGAATTGCTTTTCCTCCGATTAAGGGACAGAAAAGTTAGCTATCATCGAACCATCATAGCTTCACCCCCTTGCGTAGCCAATCTGAGGTTTCTTGAATTTGTTTTAGTTTAGTTATATCAATGTCCTGTTTTGAAACAACACAAGGGCATTTTGGGACGGACGTCGTAATTTTGAACCACGGATAAGAAAGGCACTTTGTCTGACACCCCCTCTCGAAGCTTCCGCAAACCACCAGCATGGGGGCGTTTGACCCACTAGGTATGATTTAATCGACAACGGGCTCAATGATCGGATCTTTAGTGGAATCGGGTTTCGAACCTGGAACACTCCGGCTCTGAAATCGACACCTTACCACTAGGCCACCACTATCCCGTGTAGAAAAATTTTCCTTCCTATATCTGCAGTATCGTTTTAGGTTCATTAAACTAAAATGCGAGTGTTAAAGCACATGTGTGTCTGTTCTGTTGATTGTTCTAAACCACACAGCAACATGAACTAATCTGGTTCCGCAACGTCGTTTCCAACAAAGGCTCCCGACTTAAAATCCAACGATTGCTACACCAATTTAATGATTTTCAAGAGCTTTTTCGAATAAATCCATGATCATCTTTCACTTCAAGCCTTTTCCATTATCTGCAAGCCGACATGGGGAATATCTTGCGCCCTCTTCGTCGAAGTGGCAGCGCACCTGAACTATACTCTGCTTCCACACAGAAGAACTTCAACTTTATAGAGAAAAGAAGAAAAATCAGAACAGACACACATATGCTTTAACAATCGCATTTTAGTTTATTTTTGTGGACTTCTTTATTTGATTAGTTTTTTCTCTCTCTTGTTTGTTGATATTGTATACTTCATACTCACATTTCTTTCCTTTTTACAGTTTTTGTTTGTATTTCGTTTTATAAGATATTCCACTTTGTTTCTTGTGTATTATCCTAGATTTTTAGATTTGTATTTTTGTAACCTTTTCCATCTCTCTGCGTTCGACATTATTTGCTAGACAGTTAAGGATCATCGTCCGATGCCTCTTCCACATCATGTCCGCCACATTGTTTAAATAACCAAAGGGTTAAAGTTGCAGGAGCATGAAGTGATGTTCTGTTTTGTTCTGTACAGAGGGAAGAGATAAATAGGTAAACCCAAGGTCAAGCTAAAGAGACTAAAAATTTTACCTTCAAATGGACTTGAAAATGCTAAGGGAGTCATCAGTTTCTTATTGAAAATACTGTTTTAATAACATCTGAAGTTCGGTCTATCCCATAATCTTAAAGGTATCATGATTTAAAAATTATCAAACCAGTCGTTTTAATTCTAACTTATAAGAGAAATGTAACATCAAACTTCTCATTAAAGTTTTTAAATATAGTGCATAAGTAACTGCTTATTTAAAGACGTTATTTTGTGATCTCTCCATTAATACCGGAAATCCATTTTTCAACAACTGGAAACCCAAGATGAGCAACGCCTCACGCAATAAAATTTTAATTCATCTTCAGGTTTTAAACTGACGGTAAAATAGATTCAATTTCTTGGCTATCGTTTTGAAAACTGCACAATCCATTGCGGATATAATGTAAATTTATTTACCAAGAAAATTATCTGTACATCAAATCAATTAAAATCGGTAACGCAACTAACTAGATTTATTCATAAAGAAGTTAAAGTCTGCTTCTGCGAAAGATTGGTTTATCTTGTCGCCCTCGCTTATCAATAATAATCATTAAATTCCGTTAGAAAAATCTTGTCAAATGTTGGCAGTAGAGGTTTATAAGATTGAACACACGATTTTAACAAATTTATTCGGCAGATAACTACATCATACGGCAGCAGATAAACGGAGACATGTCAAGCATCGAGAGCTGAATCGTTAAAAATAAATTATTGGATATTTGTGACATAACATTTAGCTTGTCGTATTACCATAGACATCCCAATGTTCATGCTGAAGTTGTAATACTGGTTAACATAAATTTATTTTACGTAAACATGCAAGCCAGCTGTTTACTGAGTTGGAAAGATTTAATTTATTTTCAGTGACAGAAATATCAGGTATCGATAACGTAACTTTTTCTTATAATTTAAGAAAACTTATTAAAAATTTCTTCACAGAATGTGGATTTCGGATAATTTAAATGAAATGAAAATAACTTGGAGGGATTGTAAATATTAGAGATTGATTGCAAATAAAAATTAAAAATAATATAATTAAGGTAATATGCCTTTAAATTTCTTTCATTTTTATTTGAAGTATATGCATACTTAAAATTCCTATCTCTCGCTCTAATAGTCCGATTTTCTTCAGATGTGCTTTGCATGACTCAGTTTGGAGCCCATAATTGCATTCCGAAGGAATTTTTAATATTATTTTAACTTAATTGAATTAATTATCAGTTGATCTATTATTTTAAATTAAATTGTTATCACATATGTATGGCGCAACCTGGAACAAACTGATTTCAAGATTCTATAATTTTATAAATTAATGACTGAAAAATAAAAAAATATCCAATGTAGAATATCTTTCCTACCGAAGAGCATAAGCAAATGTGGTTTAATCTTCGGCGAAAAAGTCTCTACTTTTGAATAAACGTTTTCAAGCTATTGAAATTTCAAAACAAATCTGCAATTCTTTAACTGCAGATTAAAAATTTGTTTTTTTTTTAAACTATGGTCATTAAGACATTTTTAGGGGGCATTTCCTCACTACCTCTCGGAAAAGAAAAAATAAATCTTTTGAAATATATATTGACTTTCTTTTTAAATTATCATTTGTATATTAGCTTAGTTATACTTTGAGAGTTTTTTCTGTAGTTGTGTGGTGGTGGTTCCTCCACACGAATAGTCCGTATTTTTTGTTAATGTATTTCATATTGTATGAATATAAGACTATTTTTTAAGGTATTATATATAATATTATTTTTGAGGACTGTATTTTAATTCTGTATTTGTTATTTTATTGTATTTATTATATTTTATTATTTTTTGTTATTTTATTGAGTTATTATATTATGTGTTTTATTGTATTTATTATATATTATTATATACATATTTATTTGTTATTTTACTGAATTATGGTATTATGTGTTATATTGTATTTATTACATTTTATTATTTATTTTTATTTGTTATTTTATTGAATTATTGTATTATATGTTTTATTGTATTTATTATATTTTATTATTTATATTTATTTGTTATTTTATTGAGTTATTGTATTATGTGTTTTATTGAATTTATTATATTTTATTATTTATTTTTATTTGTTATTTTATTGAATTATTGTATTATGTGTTTTATTGTATTTATTATATTTTATTATTTATTTTTATTTGTTATTTTATTGAATTATTGTATTATGTGTTTTATTGTATTTTTTATGCTTATACTTATTGTATTTGCCGAATGTTCGTACAATGTATCACTTTTTCTTTATACTCTTCCCCGTCGACCCTTAAAACGCTTCATACCCTATGGGTGAGTGGGACGGCTTGGGTAATAAATAAATAAATATAAAATATCTTCTTTTTAGTGGATTAATAAAATTATGGGTACCTCCACCAATATTTATTTAAACTGCATTCCGTTAAACATCTCATATAGGGATTGCAATCCGGCACCAATTTCAATCCGGTCGGATTGGTCACATCAAAACTATTTTGCCTTTTCATTCCAAAATCAGCTGTATAAAAGGCGATAAAGTGAGTGTATTACATTATAAAGATTATAAAAAAAGCGTTAATTTCTTATGAAATCAACTTTATTTACACTGTTATAATTAATCAACATTTACGTATGAATCAACAATAAAAATTTAGTACAGTGTAACTAGTTAAATTGTAATTGCTATATTAGTTTAGTAATAATTAGATAATGACAGGCGGTTAAGTTCAGTCTCACTTACTAGATTTCACAAATCACATCAACGATAACTTGTAATGCAACTTATATTATGTATAAGTAATTTATATTAAATCTTACTAAATCAAGCTTATCAACTGAGATCACAATAATTAGGGATTTTAGACACGCCAAGCAGTCTCATTCTTATAATTATGACAGTCATCATGAATCTGTTTAATCAATGGCACAATTATCACAATAACGAGTTTAAAACTTCTTCGTATTTTTTAATATACTTACTTTCAATTATTATTTTAAGTAAAACAATTAAAAGAAACTCACTTTGGTTTTGAAAATGTATCGTAGGAAACAGTGTTAATTGTGTTATCTGTCAATCGACTTATAGAGCTACAAATATAGCCAGCGGCCTAGAAAGCCCTTTCTGCTTCTACACTTGTCGGTTTTATTGTCAACAAATACTCATGAATAGAAGACAAGTATTTTCCTCGAACTCCTTCACTTTCACATACAGTCATTTCCTTTCTTAATGTTTTCTCATAATCTTTCTCTTTTTTTGGTATTTATGGTCTAGGTTTCCATATCTTGCTGGATTTGTATCTGTATTTCTTTCTGAAATGGGAAATCATTTTTCAATGTGTGTGACGATGAATCTAAGTTATTTTGTACTATATTATCTACGTTTTCTTTAAAGCTATCATCTTGAACAACTCTTTCTAAGATATTTTTCATTTCTGGTCTTACAATTTTTTTTTCGGCATAGTAAATGTTTCATCAGTTCGTCTTGTATCATCATCATAATTTTTTTATTTTGTAAGTATATTAATATTCCTGTTTTCATTTTCAATTGGTTTCAAAAGTGACATGTTTGTTTCAGAACTTTTAGACTAGTACCTGCAATGCAATACGAATAGGTACATACTTACAATTTAAAACGTTATTTCGGTCAATATGTAAGAAGAAAGTCGTATTATAAAGAAAAATCAGAAGTATGGATCGTTACTCAATTCATTTCTAAGTCTAATTATCTACTTAAATCATTCGCGTACTCGTAAATGCAACATAAACATAATTCATCTATCAATTGAACAATAACAATGTCTATATGTGTAGCGGGTGAGTCAGTGTCGAACGACTCGTACATACCACGCATTTAAGTACCTACTCTTGCAACAACGCGAGTATTTTTTTCAAGAAATCGGCTTCATGTATTTTTTTGATTTACCGGATCCGGTGATCGGATTCGGGAAACTGGTGCCGGATCCTCCGGATTACCGGATCCGGTTTTCCGGATTGCAATCCCTAATCTCATAGTGGATACATTTCAAAGGATTAAAATTCACATAATAGTATAACTAAAAGACACAAATGGAGAGATATGTATTGTGGGAATGACAAGTACCAATACTATATTTCAGTCGCATCCAATTGTAACAGCGACACTGAATATTGGTAGAATTATTGATATGGCTTGGTTTATATTTTAATTTTTTTAAACACCATAAAT